TGTATATATGCATATGTACATGTATATGTATATGTATATGCGCAGCTACATATATGTTCGCCAAAAATCGCACTCATAAAAGCATAGCTTTTAAAGTGCGTGCATGATCAGGCGGAGTATCTATCCAGCTAAGCTTCTATTTTTCTTCGTACCAGGTGATGATTGAGGCCAACTACACTGCGCTTGTGATGGGGATTGTGGTGATTGAAGGCATAGGCCGTTCATTAGACCCCTCTCTCGATATCATTCGCCAGTCTCTACCCATCCTGGCGTACCAGAAGATTATGCGCGACTTCACCGTGGGCAGGGTTATGGAGGAGGATGATATACAGGAGGCTTGGAGGTTGTACTTAACGATACCAGAGTTGTAGGTAGGAGCAAGTTAGATGGTGCTCATAGTGTATAACCTATGATAGGATGAGGCCTGGAGGTTGTACTTAACAATACCAGAGTGGTAGGTAGGAGCAAGTTAGATGGCACTCATAGTGTATAATAAACCTATGACAGGATGAGGCTTGGAGCTTGTACTTTACGATACCAGAGTGGTGGGTAGGAGCAAGTTAGATGGCGCTCATAGTGTATAATAAACCTATGATAGGATTAGGCTTGGAGGTTGTACTTAACGATACCAGAGTGGTAGGTAGGAGCAAGTTAAATGGCGCTCATAGTGTATACTGAACCTATGATAGGAGCGAAATGTACCAACGGGTTGTTTCTGTCTTGTTATTCGTGAAATCCTATTCAGAGTTATGGTAGAGGAGGAGAAGGAAAACATGGGTTGCTTCTGGTCTGTCGTAAATCATTCATTGTTAAGCATACTCTGACTAGCAGTCCAACGATAGCGGAGACATGCTAGTGGTTGGTGGTGCCTCACGCAACCGCCTGCAAACTGTAACGCACTCAATAGCGACAGGCCACATTAACTCTTCACTTTCATGAATTGAAGCCTTGGGTTAGTACTGGTGCTGGTACTACCTCTCCCATTAAACGCAAGTACAATACAAGGAATTGAATCAGAACAACACCTATCACACACATAGAAAAGCCGACGAGACCTAGATTCAATTAATATATCATGAGGGAACCGTTCTCTTCGTACTCTGCGTGAAATACAGACACTTGCAGTTACCACACGCTCGTGCATGTCACGTTACAGCAAGTACTGTTACGAAGTCGTGCAGTCCTAGACCGCAATGGCTGCATTGCGAAAGCCGAGGAGACCTCGATCCAATTGATTTATCACGAGGAAGCTATTTTTCAGTATTAGGCTTGGAATTACCATATAAGGGATCGAACTGCTGCAGGGCCTCCGGCGACCTTTCGCGATCTAATACAATCAGGTCCCCTTTATTGGTCACAGCCACCGTGCCCATATTTAACCCAGCTACACCATGCGTGATTATTTCGTCACCACTTTTCCCATGACGTGGCGTTATTTTGTCATCACTATATTCACCGCTCGCTAAATGTCCATTGCCGCTGCCAGATCTACTGCTCCCCGGTCTCTCATCGAGGCTGTGGAGACTGCTGTACGGCCCATGCGTAGGCGAAGCACTATCTGCTATCACTCGATAATATTCTTGTTTTCTTGCATCGTCATTAGAGCCACCTGTATTTGACGGGGCGTCCGATCTATTCCCTTCGTTACTAGTCCTTTCCGGTGCATGGTACGGCGGCGGTGGCCTGGGTGGGGGCGTCTGACTGTTTCTGATGGACGGGGGTCGCGATCTACCCTCTAACTGTCCGATACCATCCACCGTTAAGCTGTTGTCAGCATTATCAGCACATGTATCCGGGTACGAATGACATCGCTCTGGTTCCTCGCCTCCATATATGTGCAGCAGGTCTCCGGTAGGTACAGCATCCATCATCCCGCTATTCCTCCCGGTATTCGTTCCGTCGGTATACCGTCGCCTACCCGCACCCACACCCGCAGCATTCGGCGCGGTTGACACGCGTGTTAAACCGGGCATTTCCGGTACACTTCTAGTGTTTAGGTGCACATCTGCGTGTAATGCGAAGACAAAGTTGGCACTCACGGGCTTGTGGTCGCTCTGCCGGTACCTTGCATGTCGTACATACGACAATTGTCGGATATTCCTGCCCTTGTACAGCACCCGGTCCGTCCAGGCGGGGATGCGATCACCCACATAGGTATCTGAGCCTGGTATGAACTTGTATGTGGGGGTGAAGGAGATCTCCGCCTCAGAGAAACCGCCAAAGGCCAGGCTGCGTATCCTGACGTCGTTGAGTTGGTCCGTTGCCAATAGTTTGTTCAGCGACTTTTGCGAGGCGATCTGAGAGGAGGGAGTGATCATAGGTAACTACGCGTGATGCCTGTGCCTGCATCTAGAACATGTGCAAACGTAAACGTATACCCTGAGTTGTTGTGTGCGTATGTTAAGATTCTACGCGTTGCATTGATACGCGTTGAATTCCTGCACACCAACGAGATCTTGGCGTGTGGATTCGTCTTGTGGAGTCTGCGCTGCTTGTGCGATTGCGTTACAAGACATGCCACTCCATCAGCCCACCACAATAAATAGATTATAAAAAAAAAGGCAATGCCAATGATGGGGCTGGATATATATATATATATATATATATATATACTACCTAGATGTCTCTACTACTATAAGTAAACGTAAGGTAGGTAGGTAGGTTAGGTAGTTGTCGTAGTT